ACCTCATGGCAATGAAAACTCTGAGGGTCTGAAAAAATGAAATGTTGCTCTACATAAAGATGGCCTAGGCTATAAGAAGATTGCCAAGACCCTGAAACTGAGTTGCAGCACGGTGGCCAAGACCATACAGCGGTTTAACAGGACAGGTTCCATTCAGAACAGGCCTCCCTATGGTCGACCAAAGAAGTTGAGTGCCTGAGCTCAGCATCATTTCCAGAGGCTGGCTTTGGGAAATAGATGTCTGAGTGCTGCCAGCATTGTTGCAGAGATTGAAGGGGCGGGGGATCAGCCTGTATGGCTCAGGCCATACACTGCACGCTGCATCAAATTGGTCTGCAGGGCTATTGTCCCAGAAGGAAGCCTCTTCTAAAAATGATGCACAAGAAAGCCTGCAAACATTTCACTGCAGACAAGCAGACTAAGGACATGGATTTCTGGAACATGTCCTGTGGTCCGATGAGATCAAGATAGACCTATTTGGTTCAGATGGTGTCAAACATGTGGTGGTAACCAGGTGAGGTGTACCAAGACAAGTATGTATTGCCTACAGTCAAGCATGGTGGTGGAATGTCATAGTCTGGGGCTGCATAAGTGCTGCCAGCACTGGGGAGCTACAGTTCATTGAAGGAACCATGAATGCCAACATGTACTGTGACATACTGAAGCAGAGCACGATCCCCCCCCTTCAGAGACTGGGCCACAGGGCAGTATTCCAACATAATGACCCCAAACAAATGCTAATGAAGCTGAGGGTAAAGGTGATGGACTGGCCATGTCTCCAGGCCTAAACCCTATTGAGCATCTGTGGTGCATCCTGAAACAGAAGGTGGAGGTGTGCAAAGTCTCTAACATCCACTAGCTCTGTGATGTCATCATGGAGGAGTGGAGGGGACTCCAGTGGCAACCTGTGAAGCTCTGGTGAACTCTATGTCCAAGAGGGTTAAGGAAGTGCTGGAAAATAATGGTGGCCACATAAAATATTGACATTTTGGGCCCCATCTGGACATTATCATTAGGGGTATACTCACTTTTGTTACTAACACTTTGCAAATTAATGGCTGTGTGTTGCGTTATTTTGAGGGGACAGCACATTTACACTGTTATACAAGCTGTATACTTACTACTTTACATTGTAGCCAAGTGTCATTTCTTCAGTGTTGTCACATGAAAAGATATACTTAAATATTTACAAAATGTGAGGAGGTATACTCACTTCTGTGAGATATTGTATTTTCTTCCATATACCCTTGAGGGTCTTCACTACTTACTCACCTCCACTGAAATGTTGCCCATAAATTCATGCTCTTTGCTAACGAATTGTCAATTTGTATGAGAGTAGATACAATTATCTTGTAACTTCTAGATTTAAGCAAGAATCTTTGCTGAAAAATTATGTCAAAGGCTGTTTGAAAATCCAAACATACCATGTTGAAAGGTCATTTCTAACTATATGCCTGCTAGCATTCTTTTTAAAAAAGGTTGCTTAAACAGGATTTCCCTTTCAGAATCCATGTTTATTTTTCTTCAGAAAGGTGTTTCTTTATGTGCCTAGCTATGTTTTCTTTGATTACCTCTTCTACTAATTTGTCCAGAACAGATTTTAAATTGGCCTATAATTTTTTGAGTATCACCTGAGTCCTTTTTAAAACAATGGGTCTCATATTGATTAGCCCCACTATTCTGGGGTATTGAGATTTAGCTGAGGATAACTTGCAAGTTAAGTGGCAAGTTGAAGATAGGGGTCAAATGTCTTCTTTACTGAAAACAAGCTACACTGTCACATAATGAATCAAACAGTACATCTGCCTGAGTTCAGTTATTCAGAATTTCAAATTTTTCCACTCACATAGTATATTGTTTATTGATCAGCATGACTTAATATTTTTCTGTTCATATTTCTAATGCAGTGTGAAAATATATTATCATATTCTTGTGTTATCTTCATACTTCATACAATGCCATAGTTACAGAAAGTGTGACTCACACAATTACTTCCTAGCCTATTTAATTTGTCAATTTGTCGATAATTTCTGGAATTGCTATCACAAGAACTGCACTGATCAAAGTCAACAGAAAACTTGCAAATAATTAGGAAGGTTCAAAAGTAAATGAAAATGCTTTAAGTACAACAATATATAGGCAGCATTCCCATCTCATTTTCCTGGGTCTCCCATATATCCCATATAAGCCACGGTGATGCAGTGGTAAGAGTACAGTACTGCAGGCTACTTCTGCTGACTGCCAGCTGCCAGCGATTTGGCAATTTAAATCACCAGCTCAAGTTTGATTCAGCCTTCCATCCTTCCAAAGTGGGTAAAATGAGGACCCAGATTGTTGTGGGCAATATGCTGACTCTGTAAACCCTTAGAGAGAGCTGGTAAAGCACTGTAAAGCAGTATATAAGTGTAAATGCTACTGCTATCTCCAAAGTAATTAGCCAGCCTTGTGTGCCTCTTGAAAATGGTTAGCATTTGGAAGGGAATATGTATTCATTTTTATGAAAGCTTATATTAATTTACACATTTATGTTTCCCAGTTGGGTAATGAAATATCTGCAAGAAAACAATCAAGACCCCACAATTGCCAAGCACACAAACTGCAATCATAAGACCACAGGGGTGATATATTGGTCAAAGTGTAACACTTTTTTCAAAGTAACTGTAATTTTGAATTATCATTAAATAAATGATACATAAGTCAAGGACTGGTAGTCAAAGCCTAATCTTTACCTAGCATCAGATTTGATGGCATACAAGTTTAACAAAGAAACCAGCAAGGAAACAAAAAAATGTCCCTGAACGAGCCATAAAACCATATGCCAGACGAAAATACTTCTTTTAAAATCCCTAGGCCTTCTGCAAGGCCTTTGTTCCAAGCTACTTTTAAAATCATGGTCACCAAGTTCAGGGTCAATATTACAAAATGTGGCACTGAGGATGTTTACAAGAATCTGATTCATGAAGCATGTAACTTTAGCATTGCAGAAACTACCTCAGTATTTGATTAAATATTAATCAGAAATAAAGAAATAGTTGATTATCGATAAAACCATAAATGATTTAAGGCCAGCTATTTGAAAATCAGTTTCTCTTAAGAGACCACCGTAACTATTACAATTATCATCTTCTTTGTACAGGTATAACTAGTTAAAACAAAGTCTTCTAGGCAGTGGAATTGACTCTTTCTTTTCAGAGTTCATGCAAATGGCTAAGGCATTCTTATTTTGCTAGACAACGTTTAAAATATGGATTAAACCTTGTATTATGCTGTTATAAATGATTTTAATTATCTGTTTAAAAGGTCTCCTTGTTCCTATACCAGCACCTAGTTCAACCTCTACACTGCCCTGGCCCTCATTGTTCACATATGCTATCTGATAACTATCTAGATGACAAAATATGTAACTTCTCAAAGAACAAATGTATAAAGCCGGGGCAATCAAGTACAATGACCCTATTGGGACCATTATTCTTATTTCAAAGGTAGGAACAGAGCAACTAAAAAAAACATGTCTAATGAGTTGGAGAGGGTCATGTGAAAGAAATCCTCAAAATATTTTTGTCTATGGCTTTAGAGATCGAGTCCCAAAGGTGCTTTTTCAAGAGGCAACTGGGCTTTCTGGTTTTTCTTTGAAGACATTTTGTTTTTCATACAAGAAGCTTGGATAATAAGCGATGTATCTTCAAAGAAAAATCAGAAAGCCCAGTTGCCTCTTAAAAAAGCACCTTTGGGGACAACCATGACCTAGATGACTGAGAATCTCCATAGAGATGAGGCATGTTTCTTTTTTCTTTGCTATTGAAGATTTTGCTATTGCTATTGAAGTGCTTAGAGACTATTACTCCTTTCATAAACAACTCTCTCTGTATTTTGAGCACTCATTCTATTGGTCAGAGAAATGCAAATGACAGCCATATGCCTAAGTGGCCTACCTACCTGAAGAATGTTTTATTACTGGAGAAGTAAGTATTAGAGATAAAATGACCTGAAAATTATTTGTTTGAAGAATCCCACTAGGGTTAGACCATTTTTTTTACACCTGTTTATTTAATTTTTTCATTTATTCCATTAGAGGAATGCTTTTCTTAAGACAGAATGGGAATGAATATTATCTTAGGAACTGGCTGATACATCAGTAAATAATTCTTAGAGCTTCTCTAACTGCATTGTTTTCCACTGTAGGAATAACCTGAAGTTCAAATTTCATTTAGTCATAGCAAACAGCCTCCCCAAGAGTCTTTTACCATCATTGTGTATGCATTTTCATACAATAATTTATCTTGAGAGACTCACAATGTTTTGTTTCTTCTTCCATATTAAAGCAATTATTTCAAACTGAGATGAGACTAAGTTAATTTTGGAGGAAAATCCAAAGGTGCTTTTTCAAAAGGCAAGTGGACTTTCTTTGTTTTTCCTTGAAGACATTTTGCTTCTCATGCAAGAAGCTTCTTCAGTTCTGAATCAGAATCAGAACCATTTAGTCAGAACTGAAAAAGCTTCTTGAATGAGAAGCGAAATGTCTTCAAGGAAAAACAAAGTAAGTCAGTTGCCTTTTTAAAAAGCACCTTTGGGACATCCATGATCTGGATGACTGAGCATCTCCACAGACATTTTGGAGGAAAACGATTTGATTCTTAAAGTTTTCATTAAATAACTTATTATTTTGGGAAGTGCTGATAATCCCTATTTTCATTTTTTTCAGGAAATATTTGGAAAGGGTTATGGAGAAACCATAACTTTATAAGTTCTTATGTACAATATCTAAATGCTTTCAGATTTGCAAGACTTTGTTACTGTAACTTACAATAAAGGTCATGTTGTTACTTACAGTATTGATTTCTTGGCTGGACTTTGTTGGACTATGTTTTGAAAGACTCACAGATAGGAATCTTGGATTATCCATTTTTCTCAGATTTTTTTTCATACAGATAAAATTGCATCTATACAAAACCTAATCTCTGAATTAGATTTTATAATAAGCAAAATATATTGAAACTTACCACAGAAGTAAGAGCCATCTGAAAACTGTAGATTCGCGCAAGGCCAAAGTCAGCTAATTTTATTTGTCCACTGCTGGTGACTAGAATGTTTTGGGGCTTTAAATCACGGTGGACCACTCTGTGTGAATGTAGAAAATCAAGGCCTCGCAGTAGCTGAAACATCATATCCTAGGAGAAAAGAAGCAAAAATGTTAGATTTTGGGATACCACGTATCATAAAGTGAGCCTATTTCAAAGCAATGGAATTAACTGGCAAATATACCCAACAATTCTATACCCACCCATACATTAATTTTTTAAAGTACTCACATAGAAAAAAGTTATTAACCATTAACTAATCTGGATGAAGATAAATGAATGTTCAGGCCCAATTTCCATTATTTCATTTTATTGATTTGCTGAAATTTTTTAAATAATACTTATATAATGCTTAATAGTTCTGCTGCTCTTGAAATTGTATAAAATTATATTTACTAGTGAAATTATATTTACTAGTCATTTGACAAGACATTTTACATTGTTTTCATTCTATGTTGAAAATAAATATGATAATTATGCATTACAATATGTTGATAATAGCTTTTATTACCTTCTGGTTAATGTTGCTAGACTACTCATCAAAATATTTTTTTGTAATTTGGCTAAAGGTCATTATCTATTATTTACATATGTTATTTTTACAAATCATCTTAGCAAATAATTTTGGAAGTAACTGCCTCCATACTTTATAAATATCACTGAAGGGCTATATTACAATTTTAGTTTAGTAGGCAACACAATTTAAAACATGGCTTAGCATGATGTATAAAGCTGGTCTTCTGAGGATTAGGAAATCCTGAACTGAAGATTAATGGAGAAAATGCAAAATTATATGAATGAAACATGGAAATGCATCTCATTCCTTTTCATCCTGATTCAAACAACATTCTATTGTATATTGGTAATTTATTAACATAAAATAACATTGGTTGACTTAATGTTACAGCTCAGAGGATCTATTCCTAGATGAACTCCCCAAGCTATAATGTTTACTAAATGAAGTTAAACTTATATCTGAAAATGCATTTGTCGAATTGTTCTGTTAATTATGGTTAATGTTTAAGAGATGGCATATGCTGAAAGCATTTTTCTTACTGGAAGACAGTGATAGGGCCAAAATTCAGTTTTTTGTTCCTAACAGCTGCTTATGGACATCACATAAATGCATCCACTTATTTAACCTCAAGGACAACGTTTACAGACACTAAACACTACCAGCACACTTCCTCTGCCTCCAGTGGTCATTTCCTTTCTAGTTTAAGTTGCATGACAGCATGTGACAACAGATATTAATGGAGGCAATGCTGTGCCAATATCTCTCAAATTGCTTTGATGGTGGCTGCAGGCTGCCTGCTTGGCCACCCAGCCAAGACCTCACATGAAACATGGCAAGGGGCCCACAGTTCTATTCACTAACAAGACAGCTGGTCAGTGATTAGGAAGCTGAGATAATGCTCCAAAGGGGAACATGCTTTTGCAAGCAGCTTCAGGCTCATGGACTCAAATTTGCTCAAATAGAGAATTTGCACCATCCCCCTAGGTTCAGGGTGACTTGAATCCCAGCAAGGAACAATTTCTTAGCAGATCAGTCTGATAAAATTGTAACTAGGTAAACAAAAACTGTCACCTTTAAAAATCTCAATTTCTTAAGAAAAACCAAACAGAAAATTGAGTAGAACCTTTGAATTAAGAAAGTAGACTTGGATTATATTTGAAATTGAATGCAACACTTTGCCCTCAAGGGTGCCTAAATAGGACAATCTAATACTGACTGGCAGCATAGCCTTTACCCTTTAAAATTATGCCTAGGTCCTTAGCCCAAGATAAACACCCCTTCAAAGGATGCAAGAAGTACATATACAGTACTTTGTGAGGATTTTTTTGCCCTAATATTCTTCCAATGTCTTCTAATAAATGGAACACGGAAAAGCCCCTGCCCTTCCAACAAGTAGTAAATTAAGCTAAGAAACAAACACCAAGCCTTTTCCTTCCCATGGATCTTTTTCTTACAAAGTATAAAAGAAGAGACATCACAGTGAAAAAAATGAAAAGAAGAATCCTCAAGAACCTTCCCTCCATCCTTCTCAAAGACTGGTAGACACTCATTTAGTCTTGTTTATCTAGATAACTGTATCTAATTACAAGACCAGAATTCTGTTTTCCTTGTTTGCATTGACTAACAGTAGCCAGTCATGGTTATTAAAACATGAAAAACATGCTAGCAAATCAAGGAATTGTTGCAATTGGTGAGAGGTTAGGATATTACCCTCTACAAATTACTCAGTGGGAAATGAATATGGAGGGCTAAAACAGATGCTGTAGTTTGGCAAACCGCTTTAAAAAAGACTGAAGTACCTCTACTACATCAGAGCCTAAGTAACCTTTCATTTACTCATGCCAATTAAGAATGAAAACAAGCACCCACCAATCAGAGAGTACCACACGAAAAGTATGCACTGTTGCAAAATGCCACTCAATGAATTGGAAGCAAATGGTATATTTAGAAAAGCAAATGAAAGGGGCCAGGCATCACTATCAAAAGAGGGCTGTTCTCTTTTGTGCCTCAGATACTAAACAGATTTACTGTGTGCCCTGCAAATTCATGAGCTTCTGCTTGGTATAACACATTTCCATGCCATGTAAACCCTTCTTATGCATAGCCAGAAGAAAAGGTCTCTCTCTCTAGTATGTTTTTCTTGTGGCTAAGGAAAAGACAAGATGATGACTTTCCAGCCCATTGCACTCATATAATGTTCTCATCAATCACTCAAGGGTAGGTCTTTGTTATCTATACTAGAGAACTGTTTTTGATTTTGCAATTCACAATGCAGCATGACTTCACTAACTACATTAGGGTTATCTTCAGCACATTTGCAACATCAAAAATGAACAACAACAACAACCACAAAAGCCTAAGACTTAAGGCAGGAGTGTGAAAAGCGCAGGTCCCAGACAGTTTCTTTCTGCTGCCCTAAAGCCTTCCCCCCCCACTTTATTTATTTTATTTATTTTTATTTGTCAATTGCTTACAAGATAATAGGTATAAGTAAAAACATAGTTTTGAATACACAGATACATATAAGAAAAATAAAAAATATATAAAAGAAACAATAGGACACCGCCGGTAGGCACATTGGTGCGCTTATGCACGCCCCCTACAGACCTCTTAGGAAAGGGGTGAGATTAATAGTAGACAGCCTAAGGTTAAAGTTTTTGGGATTTGGGGGAAAAAACTACAGTCAGGTAGAGTATTCCAGACATTAACCACTCTGTTGCTGAAGTCATATTTCCTGCAATCAAGTTTGGTGCAATTAACCTTGAGTTTGTATCTATTGTTTGATCTAGTGTTGTTATGGTTGAAGCTGAAGTATTCATTGACAGGTAGGACATTGCAATGTATGATTTTATATATTATACTTAGATCGGACCGAAGTCGGCATAGTTCTAGGTTTTCTAGGTCTAGAATTTTGAGTTTGGTGGCATAAGGTATTCTGCAATGATTAGAGGAGGGGAGAACTCTTCCTATGAAATATTTCTGGACTTTCTCAACTGTGTTAATATCAGATACATAATGCGGGTTCCAGACTGATGAGCTGTATTCGAGTATTGGTCTAGTAAATTTTTTGTATGCTCTAGTTATTAGTGTAATATTACCAGAGAAAATGCTACATAAGGTTAGGTTAATAACTCTTAACCCCTTTTTGGCTATGTAGTTACAATGGGCTCTACCACTTAGATCATTAGAGATGAGTATTCCAAGATCCTTGACAGAGTTTGGATCATCAACAAGGTATTGACTATTCAGCCTGTATTTTGTTTTCTGATATATTTTTTTGCCAGTATGTAGGACATAGTATTTACTTGTTGAGATTTGAAGTTGCCATTTGTTTGACCATTCCGATACATAGTCAAGGTCTTTCTGAAGGGTAGCAGTATTGTCTGTGGTGTTGAATAGCTTTACATCATCAGCGAAGGGAACACAGTTGCTCTTGACACGATCACAGAGGTCATTTATGTAGAGTATGAAAAGAGTTGGTCCTAGAACACTGCCTTGGGGGACACCACTGTTGACAGGTACAGAATTTGATAGGACGCTCCCAATTTTGATCATTTGTTGTCTGTTTGACAGGAATGCTTCTATCCAGTAATGCAGGTGTCCAGAGATACTGTAAGATACTATAAGATTTTAGTTTTAGGAGTAGTTTGTCGTGTACCACTGAATCAAAGGCTTTACAGAAGTCTATGTAGACTGCGTCTATTGCTTTGCCCTGATCGAGTTGTGTAGTCCATGTTTTTGCAGTGTAAGAGTTGCAGATTACATGATAGTTTTTTCCTAAAACCAAATTGTTTATTAGAGAGCAGGTTGTTTGTCTGTAAGTGGAGGATGATGGATTGGTTAATAATTGATTCCATGACTTTACAGGTGACGCAGCATAAAGAAATTAGTCTGTAATTTTCAACTAGGCTAGGGTCTCCCTTTTTTAAGATGGGGATGACCGTGGCTTGTGACCATAGTTTCGGCAAGGAGCTGGTCCTGAAAGATTTTTCAAAGATTACGCTTAGAGGTTCGGCTATGGCAGTGGATAGCTTTTTTAAGAAGTAGGCACATATTCTGTCTGGTCCAATAGATAGAGATGAACTCAAACTATTGCAGAAGATGAGATCTAGGCAGTTGTTAAGTCTAATGTTGTTGGTTACTAGTTGTTCTAGTCCCAGATTTGTTACTGCATTGTAGAAGGTTGCATGTGTGGGTTCAGTTGTACATTTGTTAAAGGTCCAGTTAATATGAGATAGATTGAAGTCACCAAGAAAGATTAAAAGCGTGTGGGCAGGATGCTGCCCATGCAGTAGTGTATTTAGCTTATCTGCATGTTCGATGTCATAATCGGGGGCTCTGTAACATAGTAAGAACCGAAATGTGATATTTAAGGACACTTCACAGACGATGTCCTCAGGAATAGCAAGCTCCTGGGTAACTTGGATGTTTTTTTTAGATATAGGGACTTTTTATGGAAGATAGCAACACCACCTCCTCTACGGATTTCACGATCTGATCGGTAAACATGATAGTCTCTTACTGTGATAATGGAGTCAGGGAGAGATGCGTTGAGCCATGTTTCACAGACAAA